TGCCTGGGCAGAGCCGGGGGGCGAGGATGGCCGATACCCACCCGGTACCGTTGCAGACCTTGTAGTCTTTCCCCTGCAAAGGGCACACTCGTGTGCCTGGTGACTCTAAGCCGCCGGAACATTTCATGGTCCATTACAAACCCTTTTGGAAATGACTGGTTGTGTTGCGTCAGTTTTTGTGTGTGGCAAGTGGGCCCGTAACGCTGCAGGCTCCAAAATTTTCTTATTTATAGTATTTCTACTTAAGTCCCCTATTCGGGGAACGTTAAATCATTTGTTTCAGGAACCTTGCTGTTTCCCGGGTCTCGCTGTTACACCCGTATATTCTTATTGTGCAGTAGCCTTAATAGTTGTGTTAACCTCATTGTAACAACAGTGACAAATGGAATGAACTTTCTCCCCTCCTTTTTTTTTTTTTTTTTTTTTACTTTGTTTTTGTTTCTTCTGCTTCCACATCTAAGAGCCATGTTGTCTCTTGCTGGTTTCCCAGGGATTCGCCCAGAGTGTGGAGGGCCACTGGCCCTTGCTATCGACTCTTCTGTTGTTGTTTGTAGTAAGTCAACTCTTAGTCTTCCTGCTAATAAATATTCAGTAACAAACCAACTGCGTTCTAGCTGCTGTCTGGAAGCAGCACTTCCCCTTGTGTTTCTTTGTATTGATTCCTTTTAATTTGTTTGGCTCTCTTTGCCAGATGACAGTATGTAAACTTTTACCATGTCAAGGAATTAAAATAAGGTACTTGGAATTCTTTTAAGGTAGCCCCTTGTCTGTGATACCGAGCTCTTAGGCTGTGCAGCGTTAACGTCTGTTCTGGTCCTGCCTTTCTCACATCCAGTTGCTCCTTCCCTGCATTCTCCTCATTCCTCTTCTTGACTGTGTTGCAAACTGCTGTGCACTGCTTTGTAGATTGTTTCTACTCCTTTAGCACGCCTTACGTTAGGCCCACGGTCTTGGGTTTGATGCGACCCGTCCCATCTCAACCCCGCGCGTGGCACTGTGGCCGTCTCAGTTAAAACAGACGCAGGAGACTTGCGTGGTGTTTCTGTAAGAGCGCAGACTGCTCCGTGGCTGCTGCTGCGCCTCTGCCAAGCGCCATCTGCCGCGCCGTCCCGGGGCAGGCGCCCGGATGCCGTCCCTGCTGCGTGTTCGGTGTGCGGTCCGTTACCCTCTCGGCCGCTCTGGCAGGCGGTACGGAAGGAGAGACCGGGCTCTGCTCTCCCCGGGGAATCCTCCCTCTCCTCCCGGTGCTTCCTCCCGACCCTGCTGCCCCACCGCCGGGGGTGCGGAGACCTCTCCCGGGGCGCTCCTGTCCCCCCGCGGGGCCGGGGCTTGGCCGCCCTCCCCGGCCGGGTGCCGCTAGGGGGGGCCCGTGCCCGGCACCGGCAACCGGGGCTCCGGCTCGGCG